CGGGGATGACGGTAACTGTGTAGCTCGAGGAGTGGAGAAGCGAGGAGGACGCCACGGGCGGAGCCGGAGAGAGGCCTCCCGGTGGACTTTGGGCCGATCGTTGTCGTCGTCGTTGTCGTCGTCGTCGTCGTCGTCGTCGTCTTAATAGTCTTCATTGTAGTTGTCGTAATCTTCATTGTCGTCGTCGTAGTCGTCGCACGCGCCGCGCCTCTTGCCTCCTCGAGGGGCCGCTCACCTGTCTACGCTCCTCTGTCGCCGGCGCAATGCGACGATAAGCTTGGGGACGGCTGGGGCGAGAATCAGCCGCGAGTTCCTCTCACGCGCTTACCTCCCCGCACCGGACTCCTACGTCCCCCTCGTTCGCGTTTGTTCTTTAAATTTAGACCGAGGCCGCTTTTTTCGTTTATCCCTAGGAACGAATGGCCTTGCTCCAAGCGACTCGTACAACGTGAGAGAGGGAGGGGGGGGGGATAGAGAGAGAGAGAGAGAGAGAATTCCTTCGCACAAAATTGGAAAGTCTATGGTGAGTGGGCGGTGGCGTTGACGAGTTAGAGGAGGGGAGGGGGTAGTTAGAAAATATTTTATGTCAACGATAGATTTTGAAAGTGAGCGGATTGTCCGATTCCTGCCGAGGTGCGCCTCCTGCATATTTTTTTTTTGCTTTCGTTTTGTTTTCTTGTTTATTTTTATTAGGCTAATAAGCGTAGGGAAGTTAATGCCTTTTACAGTGGTTGCGGTACGTGAGGGAACAACGAGAATAGCTTTTACGAAGGCAAAGTCCAATGTTATTTATAGGTAATAATTTTGCACACTTTTTTTTTAATGGAATTTGTGACTTTACGGACATGTTTTGGTCGAACTCGAAGTCGAGAGAGCGTGAAATACGGGCCAATACAGCTGTTTCACTGCATCAAATGAAATCATCGCTTGATTTATCAAAATTATCAGAGCAAAAATCACGTTAATGTGGCTATGCTTACTTTAAATAGAGACAATGCGATATATATGGAAGAGCATCGATTTATTTTCAGAATTTGTAGCCTACAAATGTCATGCTAACATTCCATGTACAAGATTAGCACGTGCGTAATGATTTACCATAATTTACCTTGTTTATCCTAATAATTTCAGCTTAACCTTGGGCAAATTGAAAATTGGCGTTGTAAGTAAATTAATTGTAGTTTGTGTTCGGTTATTATGGTAAATATTACCTTAGAAAATGATAAAAATGTAACAACAAGCGACAATAGCTGCAAATTAAAAGTCAAAATTACCAATATTATTTGTGGCTGGTAAAGAAGAAAGAAGCTACAGAAGCTGAAAAGAAGAAGAAAAGCTTAAACTTAGTTTCGAGATTTTTCATCGCACAACTTTAAAACTATCAAAGTTATATTACGTCAATCTATAAAATACGCGTTGATTATATTTTTAGTCTTTGGAATATAAAATTATTTTAATTACGCAGCATCTGGAAATACTTTGATGATATGCTTAGATCTTGTTTCTTACTTCATTGTGATAATAGTAGCTCGACATGACGTAATACCGGTGAAACTTGTACATATATCCTTTTTCTTCTCTCTTTTATATATATATATATATATATATATATATATATATTTTTTTTTTTTTTTGTTTGTTTTGTTTTGTCATTTTTCCTTCCTTCGTTCGAGCGAAAATAATATTTTACCGTCAAATATTACGTACACGCGCGCACACGACGTTGTATTAATTAATGAAATTGGCTTGTTATCAAAATTAACAAAAAATTACTATTGATCGAATAGAGATTTAAGATATGAAAATATTATTGGAAGTACGATTAGGCAAATTTACAAAATTTTTGTGTGCAAAGCAAGCAATTTTAAGATAATACAAAATCATGTGATCGATCGAGCGATTAATCGAGTATTTTGAATTTGAAGTTAATACTCGAATTTTAAATACGAGATGATCTATCGTCTATGTGATGGTGTCTCGAGGATGTCTTTAAACTTGGTCATTCTACCAAAATAAAAAATTATTTTTAGATTTCTCTTACAAATAAAATAACATTTAAATATTGTTAAAAAATAGTATTTAAAAATTTTTAGCGAATCTTAGCGAACATAATATTAGATATTCTCTTCATAATTTGAATTTATAATTTTCATACGTTTTCTCTGCATCGTAAGTAATTACTAAAGAAGAAAGAAGCTACAGAAGCCGAAAGAAAAGCTTAAACTTACTTTCGTGATTTTTCATCGCACAACTTTACATGCCATCAATTTACATGCGAACGATTAATCAGATAAGGAGATAAAATTTTCTTCGTTTTTAATTACAACGTCACTATATACCTCTAAATGTCATCATCCTGCTTTATTATTATTTTCAATTATTTTCAAGGTATAACGTAATTATGAAATTGATATGTCTATCGATAGATCGAGGGAACGGATAGCTTAAGAATTTACATGAGATAATAAGTTAAATTTGATTCGTTATTGTATCGAGGTGAAAGCGATAATGACACATATCAAGCGTGAATGATCGATGGGGGTCGGAGTCGTGGCCGGGATCGCGAGAGAGGGACCAAGGTAGGGGGTGTTGTATCAAACAGTCTCGTATATTTATTAATAATAACTTGTAATAGCCGGTGAATCTGCATTAGGCCAAAAGAAAACATAATATATGTATATATATATCGTTGAAAAATTATTTAAAACGTAGTTGAAGATGACTTATGTAAGGCATTCAGAGACGCTATTTCAGCCTGAGTTGAAAAAGTATTTGCAAGCGGCATAAAACATATTTTTAAAATTCAGATAACCAATCGTCCATTTAGCCTTTCGACGCAAACATTTCGGCGCTAGCGATTTAAATCTCTTCTCCTGTAATTTATCTAGAAATTCAATTTTTCCGCTACAAGTCGATAAAGTGATAAACTTATGGTTATGAAAATGCACTCTCGTACTCGGTATTCCGCAATGAGTGTGCAATAATAATTGTACGCTCGCGATGTAGAAAGTCGTCGTGGACTCGGACATTATTCCAAGCGGGGAAAAACACGAAATCACACTAGGATGCTAAATCTTGAGGGGAGGGGAGGGGAGGGGAGGGGTGGGGAGGGGGATGGGGGGGGGGATGGGAGGGGGGAGGGGAGG